CGACATTTTCGAACGCTTGTCACGAGCTAGAATGTTAGTTTAAGAACTGTACTCTGAATGACACTTTCGGAAAGATGGTCGAAACGATGACGTCTTCTTTCGCAGAAACACTGAAAGGGCAAAGGTCAAACGGCGCTTGTCTAAGGTTAAGCATGCTGCAATGACAAAACAGAGGCAGCTAACTTCAATAAATTGTGTGGCTTGCGTTTCATGTCTCTGTTTCTTTTTGTAAAATATTGCGTTATTCAAGGACAGATATTGTATTACATTTTCAACTGAACAACTGTAGAGTGTTGTAGCACCTTATTCGACTAATTGGCGCATTGCAGTGACGAAGACTGACCCCACCCCTCGGCTACAGTAATGGTAACACCAGATAAATTTTCGCACTCAAGCTCGGCTCGCATGTGCAAGTGCCTTCCTTGTCTGCTTTTTCTATCGTACAGGAAACTAAAGGCTACGTCATGTTCACAGGACAAACTCTGGAGTTCTTTTTTACACAATCGCTTTAAAGCTACTCTACAAGAAAATTAGTTGACAAGACCACTGGAGAAAAAACGGCGAAAAGATTTTTTTAATTTTCTTGTATGACATGCACCACCTAGCCCAACAACAACTCTTACCACCCTCAAATACCTGAAAAAAGGGTGAGGTTCATACAATCAAGTTGTGACAAATTATTATAATTTATAGTAAACATAAAAAGCAACCACACAAAATGGCCGCCACACGAAGCACAGTATACGTCAATGGGCGCCAGCAAGTGATAGTGCGGCATAGTGCGGAACACTACGCAATAGTACGCAACACCACGCACTAAACAGTACTGCGATTGTGGAGGACCGTGCGCTAATGCAAGTTGATGCACCATGCGTCAACTTTAACAACGTCACCGATTATCAAATGAGTCGAACTTTTTATGTTGCCGTCTGAACAATAACTCTAAATGGTGCCTGTCAGCTGCGTAGCAGATTTTTTTTTGAAGGGGGGGGGGGGAGACACAGGGGAACGCAAACATTATGGAATAAATATGCGCAGCCCAATACTACTCGCTGGTCCTCTAAGGAACATTCTGAAAAGCACAGTCAGAACAAAAACAATGAAATGAACTTTGCTTAGTTTAATAATTGTGAACCCGATTCAATCGAAGCACCATTGATGGGAGACTATTGAAATATATATGTTCACATTATGAAATCAATTATATTTAAGGTAATTATACCTGGGCTTCAATGCGCTAGCTTATGTTGTGAAGCACACAGAGGATGGCTCGGCCTAAGCAATTTTCTACTACGCCATTATATGGGAACTGTAAATACACAAGTTCCGAAAAAGCGGATAGGTCGATAATTAGTAAGCATCATAAATGAGCTTCGATACGTCTTTTAAAATTAACATACAAACCAAATATCTCCAAATGCGTATGTGTAACTACCAAATTTACAAGTAATAATGAGTAATTTACAGTATAAGCGTACTTTTCTTTTTATAATACAGTTTTATATTGCATGTTGGATTTCCAAGGTTGTCATTAGCGCTTAGCTTCAATGAAATCCATGATCGTTGATAGTAAATCTCAAATGAACCTCGAGTGCGTAAATAACCTACACGGCAGAAACCTTGTTCGCAGTAAAATATTGCGCCTGAAGAGAAGAAAAGCCACAGGCGCGTCAGACGATTTTGAGTGACTCGCAAATGCGCCGCACCAGGATCGCGCGTGTAGAGCAAGTCAAGTGGGCGACAAAATGTCAGTCACTCGTCACATATAAAACGAAGCTGTTAACAACGAAGTCATCGAGCAGTACTTCACAATGATGCGCATTATCATTCTTACATTGCTTGTAATTTCCGCTAGAGGTAAGGAGCACTGCTTTCCCAGTACAGATTGTAGATATGTGTTGCCATGTTGTAGATGTGCATGCAGGCAAGTCAAATCATATGTACATATGGACTGCCTTGCAATTTTTTATTACTCCTCTGTGCTTCACAGAAGGGCACTTTTTCTGGTACCCAACGTTGCTGACGCAAGGTCAATCTGTGTCGTCAGCTGTAAATAAGGAGTAACTATTCAAAAGTGCTAGAATACCTCACAGTAGTGCGCATGAATTCATGTGTGAAAGAGAGAAAACTTCCATCCGTACAAGGATAAGAGATCGTCCTAACAGCTCATGTTCCCCATTCGCTTGGGCCGCTGATCACCGGCTAAGGAAACAGCCCTGGACATTGCCCTTTGCTACGTGACGTCCTCATTTGGAGGCGCTACTTATATGCACTTGCCGTTTTTGTGCGCTTTAGTAAAAGGGAGACCACAGGTTCGATGCTAATGGTAAATTGAGCAGCCCTGTCACCAAATTTTTTTTATATATAAATCACTTCTGCAAATATTTTGCTACAAGCAATAACTTTGGTGAACGTAGTGCAGTGTTTAGAGAGGCGTTGGACGAGAGGAGCTGCTGCTTGAACTTGAAAATATTGTCTTAGCATTTTAAGAGTTCATGTTCTTAGTCCATAACCATCATGTGGAATTTGAGTGGGTCGTTTAATTCTCTTAATGAACAAATATCGCATGACAGGCCATATAATAAGTAGATTACAATTCACGTTGTAATAACAATTCCTTGGTGTAAAACGCGTTTTCGTTTGTAATATATCATTCCCGTCCCGTAAACTTGGTTTGTAGAACCTCGAAATCAGAGTGTGTAAATTTGCAGTATTTACAGACAGTTAATGATAACGCGCGTCGCAAGCGGATAAGCGGTCTCACCCATAAGGTGAAGGAACGAGAAAAAGGTGCTCTGCACCTTTGGTAGTCGACTTTGCCTCCGCTCACCTTGCCATGAAGAAGAAGAAGGTGTTTAATGAGAAGAAGGAGGAGAGGTCGACCTTGAAAGCGGTTTTCTGGCCTGCTAGTTCACAAGGAGGTAAGGGGAAAAGGGAAAGAAAGAGGAGGGTATGATGAGGGGTGATTTTGGTATAGCACAATGAGTCACTGCACACAATATCTCGTTCGGTGTAGTACACGCACAAAAGTCTCTACATTATCAGATTCTCTGAAGACAGGAATCTAAACCTATCTTGCTTAGAAGTGCGAGCAGGCCCTCTAAACTGCGTTGAGCGCGATACACACGTTTCCAAGCACGCAAAAGTTTCTCTTCCAAAAGGGGTTGGCATTCTAGGTCATCTGTGAGGCACTTAAGAGATTGTCTTTCAACTGCGTATAAAGGACACACACACACACAGAGTGTCATTATTAGTTTCTGGCGTGTTACACAAGTTGCAGTTAGGATTTTGCTCTTGTCCTATCATGCATAAGTATCGTCGCCTGTATGCAACACCCAGCCGCAGTCTATGTAGTAGCGTTTCTTAGTCTCTCCTTAGTCGGAACGGAAGGCGAAAAACACGACAAGAGTCAAGCCTGAAAATGCGCTTGTGGCGATAATCCAGATCATTCCATAGTACTTGCATAGATGTCACACCCTGCCAAAAATATGACACGTTCAATTCCTGGTCAAATACTGTCCTTGGCAAAGGATATTACTGCAAGATCCCTAAGTACTTCAACTTTGATGATATGTGGGGTTTAACGTCCCAAAACCACCATATGATTACGAGAGACGCCGTAGTGGAGGGCTCCGGAAATTTTGACCACCTGGGTTCTTTAACGTGCACTCCAATCTGAGCACACGGGCCTACAACATTTCCGCCTCCATCCGAAATCCAGCCGCCGCAGCCGGGCTTTGATCCCGCGACCTGCGGGTCAGCAGCCGAGTACCTTAGCCACTAGACCACCGCGGTGAGCGACTTCAACTACCAAAATAATTTTCGTCATATAGCGTTTGATCAATTTTGTGAGCTCAGTGCGCAGTCAGTGTGCGCTTTCTTAACGCACAGTTAGAAACATTCGCCTCCTTGGCCAATCGTGGTCACAGAGGCGTGAAAACAGTGTGAAGTAACCAGTTCTTAGAATGCAACATCGGCTGCCCTGGAGAGCAACTGTCATATAAAACCCACATTACCATGACCTAATTACTATGGTAATAACCGGCATGACCATGGCCTACCAATGTACGGGGCATGCTTTGACGCACCCCTAAGATGATTGAGAAGGAAACGCCCTGTCCATGTGTAGCAAACGCGTAGAGTAGCAAACATTTTGTTGTTACTAAACCAGAAAAAATAAAACAATTAAGACCCCTTCTCACTAATGGTCGCAAGCCCGTAAGAAGAGCGAAGCTTGGTTGCCTGCCTTATTGTTTTTCTTTCTTTCTCTCTTTCTTTCGCCTTCTTGGTTGTTTCCTACGTCTTATTGTGTAATTTTTTTTCATTCTGCCATTTTCTTCCCATTCATTTCATTATCTTGCTCACGCCTTCTATATTTCTTTCGGTACTTTTCTTTATTTCTCTTGCTGTCTCTATGTTTTCTCGTTTCCTTTCTTTTTGATTTTTCATTTTTTTTTCGCTTTATCTTTGCCTTGCGTAAAAGCTAGATGCGCGATGCACATAAATATTACATTATGTGCACTTTGTTTATGCTGTGGTTATTTACGATAAAAAAGTACGGCTGCGCCTATTGTAATAGGTGGGAAGCTTTATTTAAGCCTCCCACTCATAAAACATTCACAATACGCGACGCCTGATTTTCATTTTACGCTTGTACCACGCCGTATATCATCCGCTTAACGTGATTGCTTGCCCAACGTGACACCTGTATAGGGACTTTTGTGAAGAAGTTCGTAGCCTGGGCAGCCTCTGTTGTTTAATGCTCGGCTGTCACGTTGAAAGACATTGTTCAAAATCCCACTACATTCAGTCTACTTTTTATTTTCACGTGAGTGATAGCGGTTACGTATACCGACGGTGGCGGAAAAGTAAGCTGCCAAAAGTGACTGTTTTCATCGCATAACACTTTTCGTGTGTGAAATTCTGCTGTTCAGTGTGTGAAATTCTGATGAAATTCTACAGTGTGTGAAATTCTGCTGTTCAATCTGAATGTGACAGGTATGCCGCAACCGAGGCTGGTTTACCCACGCCTACTGGAGGAACGTTCAGCCGATGGAAGAATGGTGTTGCACCTGCACGATCAACTGACACTTAACCTCAGAAAGGCGTCGGTGGCGGCGCGAAACTTCCGAGTCCTGGAACACGAGGACGGCCACGAAGTGACACACTTTGTTAGTATACTCTCGCTATGCGACTCGTACAAAGTGGCTTTGAAAATTAGTGATGAATATCCAGCGCAACGCATTTACACGCTTGTGGTATTATGCTTTTGACATTACGCTAAAGCAACTGAGAAATAAAAAAAACATTTATGACACTCTCACGTCATTTTAGGCAGGTTTATATACGATCGTATGTCTATACATTATTATAGCACAAAAAAACACTGGCAGTACATAGCATGAAGTGTAGAGAGAGAATAAAATGAGGGAAAGGCAGGTAGGTTAACCAGGAATTGGAGAACCTGGTTTGCTACCCTGCACTATGGGAAGGAAGAATGGAGAATAGAGATGGGAAAGAAAGCGAAGAGCGAAATAGACGCACGAAAAGGAAAAGAATAAAAAAAGGAAGCTGGGGTGCTATAGACCATTTAATAGGCCACTACCAAGCAAAAAGTTCAATGCAGCATAATTATTAATCGTAAAATATTATTAGTAATAATAAGCGTAATTATTAGTAATAAACGTAATTATACCAGAAAATGAATGGAATGACACATAGGCTCTGTATTTTAGCAGCAAAACACATCACGTTAAAATTAACACTTCTTACTCAGCTCTTACTATTATAAAAACTCTAATTAATTTGTGAAATGTTTACACTTCCTGTTTACAGTGAGAAAAAGTAGTCCAAATTTGTAAAAAAACGCATAATGCACATTTACAGCACTGGAATAATAACGACGTGTATGCATCGACAGTCACTTTATAGATCATGGCGCAAGAAAATTTACTAATTGTAATTTTTCTAAAGAATAAGTAACAGAATTAAGTGATAATTTTTTTGGAAAGAGGCAGAGAGAATGAGGTTGAGTGAAAGGCAGGGAGGTTAACCAGAAGAACATTTTTGGTTTGCTACCCTGCAAAGAGAAAGAAAAATGGACACGAAAAGGTAAGGTGGGAGAAAGGAGGGAAGGGGGTGGTTGAAGAGAAGAAAATAGAAAACGAACACACACTCAAGCACAGCACTGTCACAGTTGTTTAGCGAGTGCGGTTTACCACAGAAACTTCAGCAGCGCCTTTCGTTATCTCGCTTGAAGGTCGATCGTTCCGAAAGCAGCCGGTCGTCGAGGAGCGCTGACGTTGCCGAAGGCTGTTGTCTTTGTCTTTTCTTTAAGATAATGTTTGGTCTGCCGTGCTCGATGACTTTTTTGAATATATTATTTTGAGATCAGGTAGTGACATTTGCCAAAAGGTCCGTGTTCTAACTTTCTTACGTTTTCTGACTTAACGTTTGGCAACTATATCAAACCAGGATTAAGCCTCGACAGTCAAGTGCATATCAATCACATAAAAACAATTCTTACAATAAACGAATAACACGCAGTAGTTAGTGAAATGTTATTGTATTAGCGGTGTCACACACGCTCACTTACGAATGTTCCGTTGTGACTTTCATCTGACAGGTCATTGAAACAGCCACTTCAGTGATCTATCTCTTAAGCTAATTTTTTTAAAAAACACTTCTATCTTCTCTTTTTTACTTATCATTACAGTTGACACATCAAACCCTGTCTGGTTTTTGAGCTTTCACCCTTTCAAAAGACCTTCGTGAAGAACTGTCTGCAACTGCGTCACAATGAAAAAAAAATGTTATTTCAAAGAAGTATGCGTATATTGCCTCAGTAATATTGTCATATAGCCTATTTATGTGATTTATAATAATTTGTCATTTGAGCGTCTATTGGGCATGTATTTATCATGAACTATTCATATTGTTTTTTAACTAAATTTTCAGGCTCAAAAAAATATTGTTACGTACACTACAAGAAAAACATATATATATATATATATATATATATATATATATATATATATATATATATATTACGAAAAGCGCTGCCATCGACTCGTCGTATAAAGGGGGGTCTTCAGCGAAGTGTTCCTATGCAATAGTACACTGCAAAATGAAGTTGAATTAAGACTAATTTGTTACGCAAGGGTTTTAGCTTATCCAATCTTCCCTGCGCATCGTGCTTCTTCAGAGCCGCTACTTGACAAGAGGTGTACGCAAGAACAAGTGCACGCATAACAAGTGGTGTACACAATTGTGCACAAAGCGCCTCGAAGGGGTTAAATCACGATCAGCTAAAACTTTTCCGAGAGCTACTTAACTGTGCTGCGCACGCTTTGGTCAATATTGGCAACGTCAAGACGTTGAACTTCGTGATGGATGATATCACTTTTAATCAATCGCTGCTTTCCCAGTTCGACGGGAGAGACCTGGAGCGAAATCTGCACGAAGACGAAAAACAACTTGCCACAGTCCACGTCACAAAACGAGACGACGGGATCGAAGTTGTAAGTGTCAAAACTTTCTCGTCTATTGCACATAACCTTTATGTTCTGACTGCACCTCGTCGTTTCGTCAGTACTAAATGATAATGACGCAACGTACACACAAATTATGCGCCCCGGCCTATACGCTCTTCCAGTTGATTACGCAGGATATTCTAAACAAAGAAAGAGAAACGATGCGATAACATTCTCACGCGGTCTCTGTTCTGTCCTCTGACGATAAAAAAGAAGAAGAGGTGAAAAAGTAATGCGAAATAGGTTGTGTTCCTTTTTTTTTACAGCTACTGAGCGATTTCGCATTACCTGTTTGATCGCAAAGATACAAATAAACCACGAATAAAAAGAATATTTTTTCAAAAGTGCGTTACAGTGTGAACTAAAAAGTTACCAACTTATTGGGCAAGCAGACTTGTTCTTGGCAAAACAATGAGGCAATAAACAAAAATAAGTTCATATTGCCAGGGCGATCAGGCCAACTGTAACATAACTTTGCTATGGATAAACTGGTCATGGATGAACAATACATACGCTTAGTGTTCCATTACATGAGCACTTTGTTTTTGAAGAACGTTTACAAGAAACCTCTCTCATTTATACACAGGAATACCATGTGTCCTTAAACGCGAATCAGCAGCAAGAAAAGTTCCAATAATGATCTAAAATGCGCTTATTATTGTTTTAAGAGTTCTCCTTACGGAACACTTTCTCATGGGCACATGAAAACATACTAACGAAAATGTCGCATTCATAAAAAAGTAATCCAAAGGATATTGCTGCTTTAAAAACATGCGGCCTTAATCTGTTTCACACTCCGCTGGCGTTGTATTTAGAGATTTCCTTTAAAACTAGGAAGGAAAGAAAGAAACAGAAACGCCAAGACACGAAGGTTAAGCAGGACAATATCTGTTTGGCTAAACCTCGGTAAGGAAGTAGGAAAAAGAACAGAACGATGAAAGAGGGAGGGAAAAGGAGAGGACATTAACACTGCTGCACAATTCTGTATGAATGCCAAGATTCATTCATTTTTGAGGACCGATATCAACAATCCATCATTCTTTTTTTTTAATTTTGCGCAGTCACAAAAGCACCTAGAAAACGCCTCAACCTCTTATAACAGACATAACACTAATTAAAAGAAACAGACAAGTATGCTAAGAAAAGTATAGGTGAAGTTATTTCTAGTGATAGTGATGTAAATCACGTGTTATTCGATGTTCGAAGGATTCTCCTAGCGCGAAGTCATCTTTTCCTCTGCTTTACTTTTTTTTACATTTTCACCTCAATTCCATCATACTTTGGCAGTTTAACATATTTAGCTTTAACACCCTCCATACTTTAGCTGTTTTTCTTACCAATTTTAATTATTGTGTCTAACAAGAAAAAAGAAGATACCTTAAAATTTCTCTGCTTTCGTGCTCTATACTTTTCGTGCTATCTCACGTCAAATATTCTTATGATATATTATGTTTTTTGTCAGGGGCAGAAAAACTGTTGCACTCTATTTTTACAAAGTATATTTCAATTTCAATTTCAATTTGAGATTTATTTACAACGCACACTCTAAGAGCTGCAAATATTTACAGTGTACTTACAGTCCTCGGAAGCCAGTATACAAGGTGGAGCCCATAGAGTTTTCTTAAATTAACTAGATGGGACTCTGGCGCTGTGATCGTTCAGCGACCATGGCAATGATGGGTAGAACACAGCTTTGCTTATTATTTGTGCTTGTGAGTTTCTAACACACATGTGACTGTTTATTGCACTGTTTTGGTTTTGTCTCAAATAAATGAACGAAGTGTTGTGAACGTCGTGACTTGGTGAGCCTAAAATGTTAAAGTGGGGAAGTGCGACTACAGAAAATTTTCTTATTGTTGTTGTGTAAAAGAACCGCTCTGACCCACGCGAAGTACAACGGAGCCAGAAGTAAGAAGTTCAAAGAAATTCGTGTACTACCCATAATTCCCATGCTCGCTGAAGCGCCGGGCATTTCTGCTCCCACATACACTAACGCAAAAGTTCCCCCTGGTGTGTTTATAGAAAAAATTATGGTTGAACACAGTCTGCACGAAAGATCACAAAGCTTCGTTCTGATTTGTACGGTGTTCACTTCTGGCACCCCGTGGCGACACATTATTAGCGGGATCTATCGTTGAATTACCATTTCAATTTCAGGTAACGCAATCCTATATCACACGCGTTGCGTCTCTTCTTGCAGGAAGGTGTGGTGGGGCCCCACCACAGAATCGAGCCAATGCTCTCAATGGAGAGATCTGAAGAGGGTCTCATTCCCCACATGATACACGAAATAGAGAAGAAAGAAATGTTTGACATTGAGAAAGCAATACCTGAAAAAGGTAAGAGAATGAGTGCATTGTCAAGCGAAGGCGTCTTGTAAGTAAATACCATTCGCATGCAACGCTTCACACGGTCTTTGTTCAACCCTAAATTGAAAAAAAAAAAAAACTCTGCAGATCCCACGTACCCTGGGAATCAATGTTATGCGAAGCAAGGACGGAAGGTGACTGCATTGTAATTTTTTCATTGAGCCTCACGTTACTGAATGATGCTAAACATATGAACAAATGCTGTACGCAGACATATATAAAACAGTCGCGTGTGTACTGTTGTGTAGCGATGCCAACAGCAAAATGGGTATTAGCAGCACAAATAGCGGTGTTGGCCAGTTGGCACGTGTACACAGGATGCGCGAACTACAGGACACTGGGAATCAGTCTTGTTGCCCTGTGGTTCACGCCTCACATTCTGTGAGGGGACGTATACATCTCGCCATAGCGGCCAGGTTGTTTTCACAAGTAAACGTTCGTTTCTGGTTAATAAAATTAAAATTAAATTCACGATTTCAAGTACAATTAAATACGGTGCATGATTTCCTGACTCGCGTAATTTCTGGGTGCTATGATAAGTCACTGAATGGGCTCGAACGGCAGTTTCGGTTTCAATAGTGTGGTACAAGTGATGAATATTAAACACAGGTACACACCACGAAATAAACAGGCATTAAATAGCCTATAAATATCAGGCTAATCAAATATGATGTTTGAAGCGTAAATTACAAAAAAAGGGGGAGGGGAGACAGGTGTGCAAGCTCTGTACCTCCCTTCCCCTACTCGTGCACAAAGAAGGCCATAGGACCATTTCTGTTCAAATCCCGGCTGCGGTGGCTTCATTTCCGACGGAGGCGGAAGCGCTGTAGACCCGTGGACTCAGATTTGGGTGCACGTTAGAGAACCCCAGGTGGTCGAAATTTCTGGAGCCATTCACTACGGCGTCTTTCATAATCATATCGTGGTTTTGGGACGTTACACCCCACGTATCAATCATCAACCATTTCTGACCTCCCCTCTCCGCCGCTAATAAGGCCAGTGCTGCGTAGCAACAGCTCCTGATTCTTTGCGCCAGTGATTATAGCTGATAGGAGCAACCACTATTGTCAGTATTAAACAGTCATGTCATCGATTCTGCTACGAAATACGTCACACGTGCCAAGATAAATTTGCGCATGTCAATTACCTTGCGCTTCACAAAACTAGCACTTCGCGCAGTCGGCGCTATCGCTTACACTTTTCACTCTTCCAGTATGTTCTCTGTCCTTTTGTAGATCTTGCACCCTATTACGCGGAAGTAGACGTCAAGCAAAAGTCAAGGACAAAACATGTTCTTCGTTAAAATCAGGGCGAGAAGTGCAGGACCAAAACAAAACAAAATAGGTATCCTGCAATACTGTACGACGTCCGTGGTTAGGCTAACCCTTACTGAATCAGAACGGAAGAGAGTTGTGCAAGTCCGTGGAGAGAAACCACAGTCTATCATGTGCCGACGGTGCACTTGAAGAGAAATATGTACTAATAGGGCTGCAGCGGGGTTTGTTGATACGTCTTCATGGTGTAAGGCGCAGCCATGCAGGTATGACACAGACCAAAAAAAAAAAAAAATGAGAGACAACACAGGGTGCCAACACATCACGTTGTGTCATTTCTTGTTTTTTTTTTGGATCATGTGATACTTCGCTACGCTCTGCAGCATGAACTCAAAGAAAAAATAAGCCATCTTCTTTTTCATATCAGTCCATTTATTCACAAAGTTTTCTATAAATACACTACAAGAAACTCTGGCGCTAGTGTCTAAGGGAGCTGCAATGCATAGCGCTTCAGCTAGGATGGGAATGATGGGTAAAGCATGTATTGGCATGATTTTCGTAATTTCGTCTCCGTTCGGCTTTGTGTGGCTTGAAACTGCTTTGTGATGAAACAACAATCAGCAATAGATTATCAGTTACGTTTCACCACATCAATCTTTTAGGCTCGCCAATTTAAATCAGTTGACAACGCTCAAAACGGTTTCTTGTTTTTTTTTTCGTTACAAAAAAAAAAACAGCAGTACAATAAACCAAGCATCAAGCCCGTTCGCAGCCCTCAAGCACGAAGACTATATGCAAATCGATGTGCTGCCCTTCATTCCCATGGTTGCTGAATGATCGTAGTGCCAGAGTACCCTCTAGTTAGTTTTAGGAAACACTTTGATGTATTGATCCTCCTTTGCGGTCCTCCAAAAGCTTTACGAAACTAACGCGACTTTGCACTACATTCAGTTCAGGCTTTCTGCACCTTGGGCAGTTTTTCAGTACAACGCCTCCTTTATTTCTTTAAATGCCAGTGCAAAGATGCACTCCTGAATGGAAGCCATCTGTCTGCCTTAGTTCAGTGAGTGGTCGTGATGTGACGCCACATGTAAGGCAGGGCTGCCCGAGCCCCGCCGCGGTGGTCTAGTGGCTAAGGTACTCGGCTGCTGACCCGCAGGTCGAGGGATCGAATCCCGGCTGCGACGGCTGCATTTTCAATGGAGGCGGAAATGTAGGCCCGTGCGCTCAGATTTGGGTGCACGTTAAAGAACCCCAGGTGGTTAGAATTTCCGGAGCCCTCTTATACGGCGTCTCTCATAATCATATGGTGGTTTTGGGACGTTAAATCCCACATATGAATCAATCAATACAGTGACAAGTTTTCAGCAAATAAACTTTATGTAGTAGGATACTGTGCCGCTGTGTCATACAAAAAATGCCTGCGGTGTGCTACATTGTAAGGGACATGTTCTACGACAGAAAGGGTTGAAAAAGAGCATGTACATGTTAAAGCTATTTCCCATGCCAAAATGTTTTATGCATCGTTTTGATTTAAAAAAAAAACGCCAGACCTGCGCGGTAGGCGCAGCACAGTCACAGCAAAATCTGAAAGAGCGGCCTCTTAGAGCCTTTTCTCAACACTCATTGGGTAACTGCTACAAGCACACTTGCTGGGAACCCGCTATGGCATTATAATAATAATTACTAAATGGTAAGCCGGCATTTGATATGCTATCTTTTGTCATTCTTCTCAAAAGCATGGTATCCGCTTAAAACTTGAAAGGAATTTCGTGCCTATTTTCATCCAGTAGCTGACGACGATGAGTACTTATTCATAATGTGAGTATGCGCCACAATTAATAGGTGATCAAGAACAAGCTTTTGTAATGGTTTAGAGCATCGGACGACCCACTGATTACGCTATTTGCATTGTGTGACGCCTGGTTGTTTTTTGTTTGTTTTTTTGCTGTTCTAAAGTGCCTTATTACTCTTACTAACGGGATTTCTTTCCTGACATCAAGCCTGCCTATAGCAAGTTTGTGAACAATATCCAAGCAGCAGCGTGTCTCATGATTGATGTGTGAAGTTTAACGTCCCAAAACCACCATATGATTATGAGAGACGCCGTAGTGGAGAGCTCCGGAAATTTCAACCACCTGGAGTTCTTTAACATCCACGCAAATCTGGGCACATGGGCCTACAGTGTGGCTCAGAGGTAAAATACTGGACTGGCATGCAGTGGACCCGAGTTCAAGCTTAGCAAGCACTGAATTATTGCTATGCTACAATATCTACTGATTGGTTGTGCATAGATTATTCGTGTTTGTTTCTTGTGACATGCTTTCAAATATTCTACATTGTCATATTCGCACATTGATGCAGATGCTCTGACCCTGAATGAGAGGAGTTCTGGCACTGAAATCGTTCCCGCAGAAGTTACAATAGAACTTTTCATTGTCAGCGATATTATGCATTTCGGCCACTTCCAGACCAGTGTGGAATTAATAAGTTACCTCTGCATACATGTTAACTCAGTGAGTACCACTTAATATTTTATTTTGGCGTACTAGTAATGGCTGCCATCGGAAGTTTTTGCGTATTGTGAATATTTTTTTTTGCGGTAGTTATCATTTTCAGTTACAAAAATTTTTTTAGGTTAGAAAACATAATGTTCCAAAACGTGGTTGAACCGTTGATGTAAGTTTTGAAAACTTGACTTCTGAAGACGAGACCCGAGAAAAAATATGGACTTTATTTTTATGGTGGAATTGAACTGAACTCAACCTCGGAACGAAAACCATGCTGCTGATAGAACTTTCGGAAGAACTGACTGATGAGGTAAACCTATAGTTCTAGACCCTAGCTCGACCCTAAGCGAACCAGAGATGAAAAAAAGAAAGTCACGGCTTTGCGATAGCAACAAATTGGAAGTTCACGCTTAGAATGGCAAGCAGTTCGAAGTATGCCCCGTGTTTCTTACGCACAAATGACGCACGAAATGCACTCACAGGTACAGATGAACGCGAGCAAGCGTCTCAGTTGTTACTTCACTGTGTCTGAAAAGCACCTCTTTTCACAAACGGAGACTGTGCAACGAATGCAGTGACCTTTGTGCGCCCGGTGACTACAACAAAATTGTTCCAATGGAGGCCCAAGGCCTGCCAAGATGTGCGATCTTCTCCACCGCGAGATAAGGGCGTGCGAGTGAGCGTCGGCCCCTCTTCTCTGCGGCGCAAAGTACGCGGGGGAAATGAGAGCATGCGCCACCACGTCGTGACGATGTGGCGACGCACGCTCATTGTGCCATCTCGCTGGTAACGCTGAAAACACGGGAGTTCCCCTCAAGATGCCCGACAGCAGCGGTAAGTGGTAGACATAGATAGCTTGCCGTTTGAACCTTGAAGGAGGAACTTCTTCATGACTCTGTGGTTAACGCCTCGACCTCACGATTCATAGGTCTCAAGTTCGATTCCGCGCGCCGAACATGCGTTTACACACACACACACACACACACACACATATATATATATATATATATATATATATATATATATGGTGAGTAACGACGACGCTGGCGGCACAATCCAGACGAGAGTGTCCATACAATTGCTGTTGCAATAAAAAAGAAGCTATTCCATGTAAATGTTAAGTTCTTTTCGGGCAAAGCAACGCCGGGCCGAGCTTCGCGACTGAGATCGCCACCGTCTTCGATGGCTCCGGAAGAAGACGTCTTAACGCTGGACGATGAGAGAACGAAGACTTTATACAGGTATAAGTATAAAAATTTTGACAGAAGTCTCTCTGGCTGGGTGGATGAAATAAGGAACTTGAATTGCTTTCAGCCACAATTTTGTAGAAAACCCGACATTTCGATACCGGCTTGGTCCCGTCATCAGGGAAGCGTCAACATGCCTTATCCTAGGCTTCGTGTATTCCCTTTCCCTCACACTGCGGAGGCTTTCTTCCTAAAAGCCGGTTCACATTCCCCGGTGTGTGTTGTATGTGCGTGTACTCAGCAAGAACCTGGTTTCCATATTATTTTCTTTTCTATGACAGAAGCACCGTCGAAGTCGTGCTTCTTCCAATGCTCTGCAAGGGCATTGCGTCGCACTTCTATCTTCCTGACATCGTTTCTGTGCTGGCATATTTTTTCTGGGGAGCACTTGATCTCGCCTATTTAGCTCGCTGGACAATCCTCTCTCTAAGTGGTTATGAAACAGAAAAGTGCCGCCCGTAACTGACTTTCCTTAAAATGCCACCTCAACAGGTCGGCACAGGGATACCACGCCTTGGTGGTCCTCCCTGGATCGTCGACCTTTCAGCCACGGTAATAAGCATGTGAGCGTTGAAGTCAGCTTATGAACTACCGTGACCCCAGCTTTTCCGTAACTTATAGTCACTGTATAGCATAAACAAGAACTCTACCATGACCGAAGAAGTCACGCCATCTATGGGCGTATCTGGAAACCGGAGCATGGCATGCGATGGGCACTAGCCTGTCATCGGGCCCAGGCCTAGAAAAGCTCCGCAGAACAAACTCTGTCATCAGTTATCAATGCAGAAGAAAGTGGTTCAAAGCATAAATCGTTATGCTTCGCATCGAAACGGAACACCCATTGAAAATTAAACTTTTGTGATTCTTGCATATCGTTGGCGTTGCGCGATTGACCGGGTTGCTGAACGAAAATGTTACTTAGTCAAAATAGTTAACTGACCTTAAATAAACATTACCCGCCAATATGCAGCCAATAAGTTCACAATGTTCATGTAGACAAAAATATTTTCACAAATTTCAACATGCTTCTATGATTCAAGATAATTCACGCTAGAACTTAACAAGTACTGCATGTCACACTAGATACGCTTGTGATGCACTGCTCTTTATTCGCTTTTTAATTTCAGAGTTAGCATGGAACAAATGCAACCCTAGCATGTCACGTGCGTTTTGCCGGTACCAATTTATAGAAAAATTGGGGTTGAAGAGCATCCACACAAACTTAAAATTCATATCATTTCAATAGATATTTGATGACTACCTTGCTATAACAAACATTTCAGTAGACCAAACAGGAAAACGTTGCCTTTGAAAGCATCCCTTAGCTCTTAGTATGAATAGAAACAGAAATCAACTAGGGGTGGTCGCGTCGAAGCGTCGCACACGCTGACCATGCTTCGCGATGCTCACATCTGCACAAATCTTACTGTGATTCTATGTATGATTAATCATAATAAAGGGAATCTGACGTATGGGTTAGCAGTTCATCTCTTGAATAGACTTTTGCATTAAAACGCGTCGCTTCTATAGGTTAACATGAGGTATGCGGACACAAGTGGGCCAAAGGTGAAATTTCTCCTCGTCGGATGTGAGAGAGACCATGTAAGTATTATTCTTCCTCGGATGATACCTAATGTATTCCTGAGAACATTTACAAACCACGGTCGCATACATCTTTTCTTCAGTTTAGCACTTACAGGAACGGTACCGGCAAAGAGTTGGAAAGTCAGTCTACTCTGGAGATGTTTCAGGTGTACGCCTATGGGAAAAGATACGAATACGGCCATCCCGATTTTGTGTTCCTGATTACCGGGTAGGTACGCCATTTAGTACTCATTTTCGCAGTCTATCGCCGCTACAACGAATGCTTTTATTGCGAAAGAACTTGCAGTACAAAACATGCCACGTGGCCTGGCCGTACTCCTGAGTTCCCTGTGCGTATTGCTGTTCTTTTTTGTTTCAAACTTGCCTATTTGCGCGACGTAAATATCACTAGTTCTGCACTACGAATTATTTAGCTGTGCTTGCCGTTGTTCGTTATCTTATTCTAGATTGTTCCTAACCCAATTTGGTTTACTTCGTATCGACCCCCATTGCACAATGCCTCTGCAAGGCATGTAAGATACGTACAAATAGGTAGATAAATAAACAAATAAACAGGTAAGTAAACAATAAATAAATAAATACATAAATAAGGACTAGTACAGTAAATTTGCCTGTTTAATGCAATAAGAAAGGAAATTTTTTTTATTTGTCTATTTATTTTACTCAAGCCTAATGAAAACCAGCAATATCCTGGTTACAGTAACGTTCTGTTTAATGAAGTACTTTACAAGTTCCTAATCGCTGAAATGAGGATTTTTTAACGAATATTTGGTCGAACTCGTATAGCGCAAATACCAAAAGAAACTAATTCATGGGGTGACAAGGTCCTTTCGCGCTAAGTTTTGAGGACGACAAAAATAAAAAGCTAATATCCCTGCTATGCGATGCGGCGTTGTGGTATGGCGGGACACGTACTTATCTCTTTTCACTCCCGGACTTCGCGCCATAGCACTCTGTGAACGTTGGTAGGATCGTGTATGGTGCCGCATTTAGTGAGTACCGTGCTTAAAAAAATGGCGCACTTTTATCTCTTGCGAGTTGACATTTCCATCTGCTATAAATAAACATATTAACGCGAAATTTGTAAGGAGTACGTTTGCCAGAAATTCCGGCTCTGGTTGTCGGGCTGTGAGCGAAAATCATCTTGTCCGTGGCCGAAAAATAAAGAAAGATGTAAATAAAATAAATAATGAAAGCTTCTGGGCTCGAGTGAAAATTGAACCAAGGCCACTTGCGTGGCAAGCAGGTGTTCTACGACACGGCCACGTGTTAGGATTAAAACACACGCACCCTGCGCACCGGCTTCACAATGCATGTGATTTCGCAGTAATATTGCGTGGTACAAGCATATATTGCCATCGTGCGTCAAAATATGTGAGTATCGTACCAACATCGTGATCTAAAGCTGATGACCTATTACAAAATGCACACAGGTTACTGCGCATTAGAACCACGTAGAGGGTGCACAGCCACTTCAAAAACATTTCACACACATAATTGCTAGCGGTATAAAGAATGCTACGCATTACACAAAATTGAGTCATATGCAAAAGCTTTACTGGCACAAGTTCCCTTCAGCTTTATGGGTTACCTTGGGTATCCGCAGTTTAAACTTGGGTATCCTTGGGTATCCTTGGGGATACCTTGGGTATCCGCAGCTTATGGGTATCCGCAGTTTAAACTTCTGAAGCAACATCATAAAATAAAAATTATACATTTAGCGGTTTAAATATCTACTATAGGGGCAGGATATCGCTATCGCGTTCAACTCTGAAAGATGAAGTTTGAGGGTCCTCTCAAATATTTTCGCCCCGCCAGGGTGGTCTAGTGGCTAAGGTACTCGGCTGCTGACCCGCAGGTCGTGGGATCGAATCGCGGCTGCGGCGGCTGCATTTCCGATAGAGGCGAAAATGCTCTAGGCCCGTACGCTCAGATTTGGCTGCATGGTAAAGAACCCCAGTTGGTCAATATTTTCGGAGCCCTCCACTATGGCACCTGTCATAATCATATGGTGGTTTTGGGACGTTAAACTCCACATATTAATCAATCAATCTCAAATATTTTCATCTATGCATGATTTATTAGTGTTATTATATTCACTGAGGGGCATGACGAAATTTCATTACGCACCTCAGCGACGCATCACACATCACTTCGTCATTTAAATGATGAAGTGACGTGTATAAGCGAGGGTTATCATGGTCCCACATTTTCTTCATCATACAGGTGTGTTGCTGCATTTTTCTCGTCGCTTCTTTTTTTTTTTAACCAAGCTTCTTGGCTGCGTAGGCTAATTTCAGCATTATTCATTCTTCACAGGTATGATGCATACGCCCTAGAGACAGACGGCACAAAGAACATGAATGTGTTAGGTAAGCCTATCTTACAGAAAACTGGTGACAAAGCAAACTGCTGGAAGCAGTTTGCTCTGTCACCGAATTTACCGAATTTATTGAAACTTGCCCGGTATCTGTAGGTTGCAAGTTCGATATCTGCCTGCGGCAAGCAGTGTTTTCGTCCATGGTATACCTTCTTGAATAGAAATTACAGCAATACACTTAATAAAGCACAACGCACGTCCACTACACCTTCCTCTGCTTCAATATCTGTCGGTCTTCATTAGGTTTTCCCATAAAACAGCTTTATAACAGTTCCGCCGTAATTGTATGCAATGCAGATTTAATTCTAATGATTCACTTGGCGCCATGTTCATTTCGGTGATACAGTGCTTACGACGTTCGAGTGCTGGCCCAAACGTCGAGGGTACGATCTCGGCTGCAGCGGTCAGCTCATACAGATTGAGACGACACAAGAGGCCCGCGTACTACGGCGGAAAATCAAACTAAGCGGGGGCGCTTCTAGCGTCTTTAAGCGTGCCTCCTCCGAAGTCGTACACCTGTTCATGGAACAATTCCCAGCATGTCCTGTTTCATTTTTTTATGGCTGGGCTTCTAGACTGTCACTCAACGCTCCCACTTATTTTATCTCCTTGACATGTACGGCAGTACAGTGCGATGTGAGTGCATGTTAAACAAAACTGATGGCCGAAATTTCCAGCGCCCTCCACAACGACATGCCTCACAATCACATCGCAGTTATGGCACGTAAAACCCCGTGTATAATTATAATTTTTATTGTTTGTTGTTATTAGAGCGTAGTTAGGGCTTTCGTTATGCCTTTGGTCGTCGATAGAAAACTATCATCCTCACGAGCCGTGACACGCCTTCTCTGCGTCCTCCTCTTCTGTTTCGCTCCCAGAACACGTGTGTCGACTTGTCCGGCGTGGGATGCTATAAATTTGATGGGCGCTAGAACAAGTGCAAGTACAGAGAAAGAGGAAGAAAGAAGAGCAAAAAAAATTACGAGAGAGAGAGAAGCAAGTTTTTGGCGAAAAAGTTTCTTGACGTGGGATTCGAATCCGCATAGCCGTTATCCGGAGGTTAGCGCCGTACCACTTGGCGTTCCAGGCACGATGCCAGAGTCTATAGCATAGACTTATACGGCACACTATGAATTGAAGTGAGGGTGATGACGAGAAACGAAGGAAAGGAGGAGGGAGGGAGATATTAAAGCATAGCAAAGATAGAAAAAAAAAGGAAGACAGAAAGAGAGAGCAAGACAGAGTCCAAGCGCTTGCCCTGTGACCTTCGCTCGTATTGCGTACGTGCCTTCAGCGCTTACATAAGTTACGAATCAGTACCAACTATAGCCCGAACCCAATGCCTTCTACAAAAAAAATAGAACGAAATAACCACCTGGAGGTACAATGAAAGGTGAAACAAAAATTAGACAAAGAGGAAAGAGAAAGAAAGATAAAAAATGCGAGAGATAAATATATAAGAAAAGAAAAACAGGAATATGATTAAAAAGAAAAAAAACAGAAAAACAGCAATAAAAAAAAGAAAAACACAGGAAAAAAATTGCCCGCAGCTTCCCTCGGGGGAACACTGAGGAGGATGCGGACCATATAATTGGTTAACGGGGTGTTAAAGTGCGACTTACTTGGGTCGATGGCTAAATTGGTTAACGTGGTTGTGAAATGGGGTGTTAAATTGCGACTTACTTGGGTCAATGGCTAAATTGGTTAACGTGGTTGTAGGAGGGGGGTGTTAAATGAGCGAACACGTACACACGTATGCGAAAGGGCGGCGCTGGTCGAAGGGACGTCGATCATTGTGTTTGTGGATTCGTTGGAATTCATTTCACCGCGACCTTGGACGTCGACGCGCCGTACAAACCAACCGACGAGCGGCAACTGAGCGAGCGAGCGCCGACCTTGAGTATATATACAGCACGACGGCGCATGCACTGTCAGCTGTTGAATGTTCTCGAAGCGCGACGCCACATGCGCGTCCACTGGAGAATCAGGAGAATTGTAGATGTCGAACGCGGTATGTAGAGGAGGAAGGGTGCACAGTTGGTGGAGGAGTGAAGCGCGCGCGGTGTGTAGAGGAGGAAGGGATGCACAGATGGTGGAAGAGTGGGCGACGGCGCGACGGCGCATGCGCGCGCGTCAGCTGTCGAATGTTCGAGAAGCGGTGCGGACGGCGCGGACGGCGCACTACAAGGCGCGAGTATAAGATGCTCCGCATCTAAAACTGGAAACATAAAGAGAAAATGGAGACGGCTGCCTAGGTCCGCATTTCTTTCAGGCTATGTTTGCAACACTAGCACTAAGTCGCCTTGCTTTTTTTTTTTCTTTTACTTTATATTTTGACTTGTGATTGCTCGGCGTGAAAATGGTTTTGCTGACTTTGCATATTTCTTATTTGGCTAGGCAAGATGTAGAGCCCACACCACAGCAGTAGTGAAAAAGAGTAGTATGGTAGTAGTGTACAGTACTAGTAGTAGTAATTAAATCTGTAGTAGTAAATAGATAGTATAGTAGCTGTAGAGGAGGAGAAGTAGGGACAGAACCATCTGCTTGCACTCTTATTTCCGAATGAGCCAAAGAACGATTCACAATGCGCAGCTCTGAAATAAGTTACATGTTTAATGATTTTTTTTCAACCTACTTCTTTTTCGCAGGACTAGGCTATGTAGGTGGCTTGTGCACCAAGTTTTTCGTGGCCCTCGGTGAAGACGTCGCTGGTACTTACAGCGGAATGCATACGCTCACCCACGAGGGCGGTCACGTGTAAGTTTCTGCAACAAGCACCTCAGAAGTCTTCATGAAACTTTATACCCAGCTTTAACTGTTAGCGCTGTCATGGACTTGCTATTTACATTGAATTTAGGTGATTGTATAGGTCTCCTGATGTGTGCGTGTGAGCATTTGTGAATTCGTGAAAATGTTTGTACTTTCATGTCTAACAGGTAAAGGGAAGCATTGAATATACATACCAATATACTGGAATCAGTGAACAATTTCTCATTACGTATTCTTTTACATTTCCCTCGATTGTGGTGCGTTTTTTTTTCATTGAGAAATGTAACAAAATTCCCAAAATTTTCTTTCAAGGCTCGGCGCTTCTCACGATCAAAGTAACCCAAAGCCATCGATTCCAGGAGACCCAGGATCGTTGAACTGCCCCTGGAAAGATGGTCACATCATGAGCTACGTCGACGGAGGAGCGAAACACCATCGTTTTTCCCGGTGCAGTCTGAAGCAAATTCAGCATCTCATAATGTGAGGCACTTTCGATTTCCTTCTCGTATATACTGCATAATCGAGCCTTTCCCCCTAAATTGGCGTGCCTTCAGAGCACGCCAAATCGCTGCTAGCATCAGCCGGCAGAAGCTGCAGAACTCACTCAGACTTACTCATGAAATGTATTTTGCCCTTGGGAATCAATCGAACTCAAAATCACCAAACTTTTCCTCAAGCGGACTCACTGAAGCTCAGATTCACTAAACTTTTTCTCTTCAGGACTCACTCGGAGTCAAACTCGCTAGATTTTTGAAATGCGAAGCATTTCTTGGTGAGCTTCGGTGACTTTGAGCGTATCTATCTATCTATCTATCTATCTATCTATCTATCTATCTATCTATCTATCTATCTATCTATCTATCTATCTATCTATCTATCTATCTATCTATCTATCTATCTATCTATCTATCTATCTATCTATCTATCTATCTATCTATCTATCGAACCATTTACGTTTGGGTGCTCTCGTGGTCACCCCCTTAATTTGGCGGGAACCAAAATTAGCATGGGAGGGTAAGGAAGTTTAACGAATATGACGCGCTGGTCAACACACGAATAATGTCGTCAAACGCTCACCGCCATAAGTCGTCAGAATAAGTCGTCAAACACTTACCGCCAGACAGTGGCGCATACCCACGGGTGGGTATGTGTCACAAGTGATTGACACTTGTATCTACTCAGGAACGACGAGAACACACATGAGCAATTTTAACGCATGAGCGTTAAGAAATACCCGACATCGGTAGTGTTTATCCCATGAATGCAAAGGATAAATGCCAGGGTCCCAGCTGGAATCTAACCCAAGCATTCTGCGTGGCAATGGAGCATTTTACCACAGCCAGGTTCTGGAACCATTTTTAAAATAGACGCTTATCTTCGTGAAACGTCATTAGTGATTGCGGTGCTGCCTACCCAATTTTATAAACATTACATATGTACTGCTTTGTTACAGCCGTCACGTCGTGTTAACGTCAATTGCGGTTAGTTACCAAGCGCCGAAATTAATTTATGTAGCATTGTTCGGGGCCAGCATCTTCGCGAGCATCAGCGCTTCATATCAGCTTCTGGTGTGTCTAATACGCACGTTCCAGTTGGCATCGTTGCGCAAGTGCAAAAACTGGTTATATAAACATTTGCAACTTTTCAACATATGTCTGTGCGTGAAACATTTGTACATATATTTAGCGTCATTTCATAACGTGTCGCTCAATTAAAAAAAATTGCACCATGGTCATGTTCCCTCAGCATGCTTCGCGTAATGTCGATTCCCAGGTACGTGGGATCTGCCGAATGTTTTCTCAACTTTGACTCACTCCGACTCAAACTCACCAATAGATTCCTTACCAGGATTCACTCACACACAGGCTCACGGCTTGATCTGAGTCTGAGTAGCTCTGAGTATAGTGTCCCAGGATGTAAATTATGTGACGAATGTAGTTTAAAGATTCCCGCCCAGTACAAAGGGCACAACCATAATTATTCTTCTAAATAATCCTCCGCCATAGAATCAACAAAGTGAGCAACTATATTAGATGCACGTATTTACTTGCATATAGGTAGTGACCGTCATCTGTCACTTGCATAAGAGTAATGACCGTAAACCGTAATCTTTTTGCTTCGCAAAATGATGACGCTTTACGGTGTAGTAGGAACCTCGCAACTGTATACTTTCAGTGGGCACCCTAAGAGACTTTGATTACGAAGGTGCTGCATTTCATGTGCAGGCGTGTTGCTTGCTTGTGTTAGAACGGAATGTACGAACAGCGCAACCTAGAAGTAGTTACAGCGTAACTACGGAAGCGAAAATACAAGAATAGAAAAAAGCGCTTACTTTCATGCAGTGTTGTTACATATATAGGTGAAAAAAGAAGAGAACGGGCATGCGTAGAAGGCTGCAGTTAACTATCACTGCGAAACAATGTCAGCGATGTCATCTCTTTTCTACCTTTGTTTTTTCGCTTCCGTAGTTACGCTCTAACTACTTCAAGGTATATTCATTTATGTCCCACAAACTTGCCCAAGTTCTGACGCTTCATAACTTGTTTTACAAGTTTTGTTTGTTTGTTTGTTTGTTTGTTTGTTTGTTTGTTTGGATGAGCAGCACACTGTGCTTTCTAACTACGGGGCTGAAACCTGGTGTATAACAAGGTAACTACAGAAAAGGTTGAATACCATTCAGTGTGCGAAGGAAAGAAAAAAATGCCGCCATATCCACGAAGTGAATGACGATGAGTGGGCGAAGCTCCGGAGGTAAACCTGGTAAACCATGAATCCTCCGTACATTTTGCCCACTCGATTTTATTGCAACGCTCCCCCTAGCGTACGTCGCCGCACTATATCGAACGATGACACGTGCCATATGTGGCATCATTCCTATTTTATAACACCTCGCATCTTTCATAATCAACTACACGTACCGCCGTCTAGTTTATAACATCTTGCATCTTTTGGACGGACGGACGGATGGATGGACGGACGGACGGACGGATGGACGGATGGATAGATGGACGGACGGACGGACGGATGGATGGATGGATGGATGGATGGATGGATGGATGGATGGATGGATGGACGGACGGACGGACGGACGGATGGATGGATGGACGGATGGATGGACGGACGGACGGACGGACGGACGGACGGGCGGGCGGGCGGACGGATGGACGGATGGATGGATGGATGGATGGATGGATGGATGGATGGATGGATGGATGGATGGATGGATGGATGGACGGACGGATGGACGGATGGACGGATGGATATGGCTGTACCCTTTAGATCGGGCGGTGGCTAGCGTAATACTTAGAACTGAACGAGAGGTGGCTACATACAGGGGACGCACAGCCCACCCCTTAAGGAGCTTCGCTCCTAAAATGATAAGAGAAAAGTAGAGAAATCGGACCACGGCATATGGGATGAGGAAACATAAAAACAGGGGTATCAGATTTCCTAGTAGACAAAAAGCGAAAGAAATAAACCTGAGCTGACCTAGAAGTGTGGCAGCTTGGGCTAGTTGGTATGACATGATGATAGTTGTAGCGCGGGAACAGAACGACGACAAAGAGACAAGTGTCCTTCATGTCCTTCTTGTCTCTTTGTCGTCGTTCTGTTCCCGCGCTATAACTATCACCCTGAGCTGACCACGTGATGCGTATAGGGCACACAACTGGTGGACCATAAGAGTGCCACAATGGTTACCAGGCAATGGAAAACACTGTTGGAAAAAGAAGAGAATGAAATGGGAGTCTCGAAGCTATCAGGCACAAAATGTAATCAAATCTCACAGGTTATAGTGAACTGGACATCACTGGCATGAGGCCTTCGTCCTATACAGTGGACTAAAACAGGCAGCACAGATAATGACGCACCACATGCGCGTGTACTTTCTTTTATATCGTTGCCGCCAAATACAAAGCAATAACCGTCGTGTTTGTATGCTCTACAGATTGCGAGGAGAAGTTTGTTGGAGAGTGAGCATAGGCAACACTGGGCACACGGCACCGGGAAAGTATCCCGGTATGGACGTAGCACCCAACGCATTCTGCAAAAGTGTTTTTCCGAACGAACGAAACGTTACCGCTGACATGGTGAGTGAAGCTTTCGTCGTTTTCTGAGAAAAGCGGGTGCCTAAACGTTGTGTTTATTTAAATATAGCGGTTCTGTCATTTCTGAGCTCATACAACTGAACTTCATGACATGAAAATTCATGACATGAAAATTTTCACTCTTACTAGCAGGTATTTCTACTGCTTTGAAAATTCTTTTTCTAAAAGTTTAAGTGGAACTGGTGGCCCTGTATTGCTCAACTAACACCTTACGCTTGAATGTAAAAGAAAAAAAAAGTTTTCCTGTTGTATGCTTCAGAGGTGCTTATGCTACACTATATACTTGTTGGAAATAAAAAAAAAACTTAAGATAGAGAGTGCCATTTCCCGACAGAAATTCATTAAAGGAAATATCATTGTTATAACAACAGGAAGCCAGCACTGCCCCACAGCATTAGCCATTAGTTGGTCCACTTTTAACCAGCATTAGACAAGAGCTAGCCAGCTTTACCACTTTTATAATATGCGAGTCAGGCAGTAAATTTGCGCCAAAAGAGACATTGTGGGTTATTTACTATACCCTACTTCGAGCAGTGAGTGCAAAATGCTTAGCAAGACATTTTCAATATCAGCAAACTGACATTAGGTTTCACTTTATCTTATAGTGTATTTCCCTTGCCTATTTTTTTCTTTATAATCAATATCGGATTGTTGCGCGCATTACCCTTGGCCTATTTTTGGCCGAAACTACGATATAACTTAGTTCCACTTTCTTTCATTTTGTGGCCATCTCAACACGCGAAACATTTTTGGGTCATTTTCTCCAGCCTGCGCAACTTGCCACACCTTGGTGCACTCAGGTTCAATACCTAAACAGTCTAATGTGCTCACTTCCTACTTTTCTACGTGTATCTGTTTCCCACTTCATCATCTTTCTGCAAGGCACAAGTTGGAGTTCGTGATATTTTCGATTTTTTTTTTGCCTTTCAGAATTCGGAACGTATGTCAGAATGCATGGTCAAGTGTCAATATCCAGTTGTTCGACAGCACTGCTTCAATGACGGTTATTGCAATACGTATACGTCAATTAGATACACGTACAAACATGCACTGGACTACATGCACTGCACAACAACCAAGGTAAGAAACTGAAAGCGCCCAATATGCAACAAATATTTCGAACGTTTTGTAAGCTTTATGAGCCATAAGGTGGGCGTAGTAGACGTACGTGCCCACATAAAGTAGTCCCTATTTCGATGGAACAGATTTACCGAGATAACAAAACAAATTAAGGGATGTTGATAACGTCATGTCAGATAAACACAAGAAAACCTTCACTCAATATATATAATATATCTTGCGTGCCTTCATAGTCAACTTCGATTTCGCCCTTGAAATTCGATGACGAATATCTCGATATACTTGTAACTTGTGTGATCTGTGAACAACGCGTGGTCCTTGAATTGTCATAAACGTCTAGATTTTAATATAAATACTGTTCACAAGGCCATCATAAAAATAAGGAACAATGTTGTTAATCACTAAAGTGTATTCTAACTACAGCAAAGAATTTCCGCCTATACGAGAAGATTGAGTGCAAGAGCTACAGGTGCCCTACTATTATAAACTGTTCATTTAAAGCTTATTTTATAATATATATATATATATATATATATATATATATATATATATATATATATATATACATATATATATATATATATATACATATATATATATATATATATATATACATATATATATATATATATATATATATATATATATATATATATATATATATATATATATATATATATATATAATATATATATATTGTGAAGAAGAAAACGCATCGTTGGCAAGCGTTGGAATGTATAACTTCAGTTTCAGTTTATTTCGGACATAGTTACATGACATGCAATATGTCCACGAGGCAAGGCAAAAGGAGACTCGTATGTCTCCTGACGAGAACTTCACCGCGGACTTACACGTCGGACAGCCAGGAGCAAAATCAGAGAAAATAAGTACAATGCTCATTGCACAGCTTATATAAACAAAAAACGAACAGTAAAAAAACACATTCGGACAAAAATTATACAAAGTTTACATTGTTCAGGTTTAAAAGTTTCATAAAGTTACATAAATATACAAAATTACATATTTTCGTGTTGAAAGCAAAATAATTGTAATTTCAAGGAGGCAGGAAAAGTAGCTTTACTTCTTTTTTTAAAACGAGACATACTTGAGTTCTGATTAGCCAATTTGATTAGGGATGGGTATGCATTCAACAATGAAATAATCTGATAATCTATAGTTTTAGTACCATAATTAGTTCTTGGTCTTGATCCCGTTAATGAAATAGTGCGAAGGTCATATGCCACTTGTCTATTTAGATATTTGCTTGAGAACATGGTACAATCACGTTTGAATTCGCGGAAAATCATTGCTGCCAAAAAAAGCTGATATAATTTTGTTCGAAAATTCGTTATGGGCTGCCCTGACTGCCAACGCCGCAAGTCACCGCCTTTCCACTCGTCCGGTGCGCTTCAACCACTTCCGTGCCGTGCCAAACCTTTCGATCGGATCGGAATTGATCTCTATGGCCCTCTACCGACAACATCAGATGAAAATCGGTGGATCATAGTCGCTGTGGACCATTTAACACGCTACGCTGAGACCGCCGCCCTTCCAAGCGCCACTGCGCGGGAAGTAGCATCCTTCGTCCTTCATCGCTTCACACTACGACATGGTGCACCTCGAGAACTACTAAGTGACCGAGGTCGAGCTTTCCTATCAGAAGTCGTCACGTCTCTGCTTTCTGGATGCCATGTTGTTCATCGCAAGACCATGGCATACCACCCGCATACTAACGCTCACGGAGAGATTTAACCGCACCCTTGGCGATATGATCGCGATGCATGCGACATCCGATCATACTAACTGGGATCGCATTCTTCCATTCATCATGTTCGCATACAACACCGCGGCAGTCTACCACTGTATTTTCACCTTTATTTCTTCTTTATGGACGTGAACAGTCCCACACCATCGACACTCTCCTTCCATACCGTCCTGACGCACCCGAATGCCCATCTGTGTCCGAAGCTGCCCGAAATACGGAAGAGTACCGTGAACCGGCACGCACCTTTACGTCACAAGAACAGCAGCGCCAGAAAAAAAAAAAACAACGCCGACTCTTCACAAAGCCACAGCTACTCCCCGGAATCACTTGTATGGCTGGCTGTTCCTTACCAAACCTCCGGCCTTTCCTCAAAACTCGTTCCAAAGTACGAGGGCCCATAACGCGTTTTGGAGCAAACCTCGCCGGTGAATTTTCTCATTGAACCACTTTCCCCATCTGACGGCATGCGCCGGCGTGGACGGGACATCGTCCACGTCGCCCGCCTTAAGCCATATTATAGCCCTCTGCCTCCAAACTCTTAGGTCGCCAGGATGGCTCTTTTTCGGCGGGGGAAAATTGTGAAGAAGAAAACGCATCGTTGGCAAGCAACATCGCCACCGCTTGGGTACTGGGTGCTGGGCTTCTCTCGCTCGGCTCGTGCCGATCATCGCCGGCATCTGCTTGACCGTTGCTCTTTCCCGATTGTGTTTCATCGTAGGACCACCGTCGCAACAGTCACCAATAAACCCCTTTTCAATATATATATATATATATATATATATATGGTAATACTGTAAACCCTCATAGAGGGTCACAACAGAGAGGACATACAAGCTTCTTAATATCTTGACAACTCACAATGCAAACTGGTATTCTTTTAATTAACGACTCAACATTCACATAACAATTCAAGAACAATTCGAAATTCACAGTCATTTTTCAAAATATTTGCTATGAACATAAAGTCGCTTACATCACTTGGCAATGAAAAAAAAAGTTAGTTTTGCAGTCACGTAAATGCGCTTCTACAGCATTTTCGAAATCAGTGACATATTTTAAAACAACAATTTCGTTCAGCAATTTGTTCCACATTTTCTATGACATCCGGAAAAAATGATATCGAAATGTGTCAATATTTGTACGGTATGGTTTTATGACGCAATCATGGTTAGTTCGGGGATTTCTTTTGCCTGGAGAACGTAAATATTTGAGCTTATCTATCTTCAGTTGATCGTGCATTATTTCGAACAATACTTTCAGCCTATATTTATTTCTACGTAGTTTAAGAGGATCTAGGTTGCATCTTCGTAACATCAGTGTGACTGATTCCTTCCTTCGGTACGTTGAACAAATAAAGCGCGCCGCTAGTCTCTGTATTTTTTTTTCAACTTCTTCTTAACAGTAGCTTGATAGGGACTCCAAACAACGGATGAATATTCTAGTACTGTCCTAATGAAGGTGGTGTATGCAATATGTTTTACGTCGCGCAATGCATCCTGCAGCTTCTTCCTCAATAGATATAACTTTTGATAGGCTTTCGTGCAAACGTTATGTATATGCTCATTCCATGTTAATTTTTGCGTAATTGTTACCCCAGAGTATTTGAACTGGGTCTATATATATTAAATATATATAACAGACAACAATGCCAAGGAAAGTATAAAGGAAGTTATTAGACCGAATCGCAATGTAAATGTAGAGAAAGAAAAGTGGATTAGAACTGCCCATTGCAAGTTATCTTTCCACCCACTTTTCTTTATTTACATTTACATTACAATTCAGTCTAATAACTTCCTCTATACTTTCTTTGGCATTGTTGTCTGTTAGGTGCTATATATATATATATATATATATATATATATATATATATATATATATATATATATATATATATATATATATATATATATATATATATATATGTGTGTGTGTGTGTGTGTGTGTGTGTGTGTGTGTGTGCGTGTGCGTGTGCGTGTGTGTGTGTGTGTGTGTGTGTGTGTGTGTGTGTGTGTGTGTGTGTGTGTGTGTGTGTGTGTGTGTGTGTGTGTGTGTGTGTGTACAATAATACGCATATGTGAGTTCACTTTTTCGGAGCCAGTGAACAGAAAGTAATAAGACGTGCAGCCACACGTACAAAAATTCACATTCTTTTTTGATGTTTCGA